CTTCACTAATGAATTATGATCACTGATAACCCTGTTGAAAGTGTTAAGTGCAGATTTCAGCGCACTGCAGAAATCCACAATTTTCATAAGGTGTTTGTTGCAGACTTGGAAGTTTGCAATATCAAGAGTGAGCGCCAGAGCACGCACGATAATCTTGCTTCGCGTGAGGCCTGATCTTCAGTCATCGAATCAAAAACGTTTTGAAACAATTATGCCAAAATAAAGTATGCCATCCGAGCGGGCCTATGTACCGTAGTAATGATCGCAGTTTTAATTAGCGGGTCACGGGTTCGCTTTAGACCCAGGGCCCAGGAGCCCCGAAGGGCCCTCCGTTTATTATTATATTTTTGTCATTTATTTGTCATTTTTGCTATTCATTGTCATTTCACGCACTATCATTCCATGTCAGGCAAGGAGACCTCGACCGACGTAAATGGCTCTCTGACATTCAGGGTCCCGTCCTGTTCCACTCCAGAAAAATGAACCTCTGGTCGGCTGGGAAGAAGGAGCTCCTTGCCGCCGGATAGAAGTCTCCGGTACCAGTGTAATCACTGCATTGTGCTCACGACGCTATGTCAACCTCCGAGCTTCACGCGCGCCCCAACTCCGGCGTTCCTCGCCATCTAGGCTGCCCTTTACATGGCTCTCCCTTCCCACAGCCGCACGTCTTTTGACGCAGAAGTCCACAGCCCTAACACCGACACAGGCCCCCCCCTGTTAAGCACTCCGTGCCTTGAAACAGGTAGCCACTTTGTTTCAGGGGCCCCGGCCAACGCAGGAGGTGCTGAAGTGCATTCATGTGCATGCAAGGAGGTGCATTCAGTGACAATTGAAGACACTGCTCTTGTCCCTGCGTCGTAAATGGGCCCCCAGGGTCCAGACTGGCTCAGAGCCAGCTGCTTAGCATTTGTGGTCTCGGACCTACATAGATGCATTGATCGTCTCGGGGACCGTCGACAAGCGCAACGAGTTCCTTCTGCCGACCTTTGAGGGCCAGGCTTATGCCCCTGGATTGTCCCACAGCCAGCCCTTCGGGCCCCCAATCGAGCCGTTGATAGCCTGTGCCAGTTAGATAGGCTTGGACTGTGCCAAGTGTCCCGTAGGCCAATCAAAGGCTTGCGGTAGGATATGTTCTCCGAGCCCCCACCAGCTGACTACGCCTCTGAATGTGTAGGTATGTGCGAAACTCAATGGGCAATAAGGAAAAACTTTTATGAGAGGAAGTTGATCGCTTTACTACAACCGTCAGTGAGGCGAAATACACGCTCCCTACGTTTTATCTATTTGGTTGAGCCTTAGCCAATCTGGTAGATAATGTTCCGTCTGGATATTTCCTTCGGGTATTTGGTGACTTAAGAAAGCATTACAGTTAACGAATGCATTGAACACTTCCACTTCCAATGAATAACTTCTGCTTTTGTTTCGATAAAGGCACGTTGCCGAAATATCAACCCAATTATGTCTCCATTCACCTGTTTTTTCTACAAGGAATTAGGCTAATACTACTATAAATGCATGTGAATAATGTTACTCGCTAATGCACCGAACAACTCACGTAACACACTAGACCAGTGGTGAAAACGTCCATATTAGTGGCAACAATCCAATCCCTGGTGAGATGTGGATTTTGTTCATTGTTGACCATTCAGTTTGATCGGAAGTGTCTTTTTTTTGGTTTGTCAAACTTATTTTTGGCCACTGGTTGATAAGGAACCATCTGAATGATATACGCTTTTTTGTCCTATTTGACGTCATTCAAATGTAAAGTTTACCTAGGCATCATGGATTTTGGTATCTGTGACGTCATTTTATTCCTGTAAGATTTCATCGCACGTTTTTCCGTTGGAAGGCGCGTGGCGCCGGCGATGTTTGTATCGCAGGGATGCGGCGTGGGCGAAGATGAGGAGTGGGGCGGTTGTGTTGTATAGTGGCTTTAACTGCTAGTTTTTTTCGGTAAGGCATGTTTTAACTGTATCATTTTACATGTGTATGTAGCAGTTAACCGCCTGCTATCTAGAAGGACCGTTTGCGAGACAGCTACGTGTGCCTGATGAAACGTACTTTCTTGCCCTGTTAGAGGTACCTAGGTCACGACGCATAACGGTTGCACTTGTCTCGCGCAGCAGGTTGAAGTTTTAACGTGTTTTTTGAAGAGTTAAATAACATAGCTTGGTCTGCATACTTCCATTGGTCTAATGGTACAGACCCCGGTAGCGATTGGTCTGTCAAGAGAAGCATGGGATTGGAAATGACAACCAACAGTTTGGTCATATGATGGCTACCTCTCAAGTAGTTGCACAGTATTTGTAGGTAATTTTCATTAATTTTGTCATTTATGGCTGAGCTTCTTAGTAGTATGGTGCCCTGTGCAATTGCCAAGGAGAGGCGATCCTAAAATTGTCTATGATATTTGTGCCACACTGATTTGGAGTGCTGATTGTGCTTGGTGTACCCATCCATGCTCCTATTTCATTGAAAGTGTCATTTTGCTGGTATTAGTGGTTATGCATACCAAGATCAATATGGTTCAAATGATTCAATAGATTATGGAGGTAAAGGGTACATGAGAAATCAGGAATTAAAAACAGGCTATGAATACAGCACTGATCCAAAAAAGATACATGTGTATCAACCCAGATGGTCATCACCCTGTTCTTGCATATCATTCTACACTGAATTTTGGGTATGTGTTGTGTATCTTGGCTATTTTTGATGCACTCTTTCAATAGGTATATTATTTAGCCATATGTATGCTCTTGGTCCTGGAAATTCCTAAAATGCTGTGAATGTTTCTTAGAGCTCATCTTGTTACTGATTTTCTATATAAGTTGAAAGCTCCCCCTCCCCCATAATCTGACTTACCATTAAATTACCATCAAGCTTAATTGCAGCCAGAGGCTACTTTCTGATTTTGACATTCTGGATGAATAGCTCAGCTTTTAGGTAGAAGCTTAAAGAGGGTGTTCCACCTTTGAAACTTGGAACATAATTTAAAAAAAAACACTGGTGGATTGCTGGATAGTGTCACTGCAGCACCACCAAGGCATGATAACAATGTAGATATTAATTGTTTTTAGTCCAAATTATATTGTCATCACTATGTAACCTTACCAGACTTCTCCCTTTCCTTGTATCCCCAGGGTATTCAGAATTTATGACAACTGTGGTTGTTGCAACTGCTGCCATCATGTAAATTACCATCATCATGATGAAAGCAGCCCCCTGAGGATGATCAATAGCTGTTTCAGTTGGATTACTGCCTTGGGGCTGTGTCAATCTGAATGTTGTGGGCCTTCTGGCCTCTGCCTAGTGGTACCTCTGCTGGTGTGAATGACATCAATGCAATTGAACATATGTGATTGGCATGGAGAGTGACCAGTTGCCAAAAATGGATTGGTTTGAATCACCCCATCACTATGGGCTATGTGATACTCAGTTTTCCCAAAGCCAAAGTGTGATGTGAAAAGATACTCTAGTAAATACAATAGGGGAGAAATAAAAGGCATCATATGATATTTTAGGGATAACAGTTTCATGTGTGCAAGTATTGTTCTTCAAGCAGAATGTTTCAAGCTGGGCAAGCATCTAATTCACAAACATTTTGGTGAATCAGCGTATTGCTACCATAACAGATGCTTCTGTTTAAAAAAGCAAGGCAAAGGAAATGTATGTCTTTGATTATGGTGAGCAGGGAGTCCAATGAGATTTCTCCACTGCTTGTCAAATTGAAATGACAGGTGCTCTGACTGAGTTTTCTACCTGGACAGACAGTGTTACTTGTTTGACATGTTACCAATGTTATCTGGCCTTAATAAAAATGAACTAGTTTATATTTGACTGTGACATTCTTCAGGCACTTGATCCCATGTTTTCATGCTTGCACTTAATTGAAAGTAGCAGGGTGTAGATATCTACCAATGAATCAAAATGTCAAGTATATTTCTGGTGTGCAGCATACATATATGAATCCACACTAACTGACATGGCCCATTGCAGTGTCAGTGTCACATTTGGTGGTGCATCTGAGCTGGCTGTTGTGCGGTGTCAGTGCTGGATCTGAACTGGCTGTCATTTGGCGTTGGTGCTGCGTCTGAACTGGCTGTCATGTGTTGGTGCTGTTTCTGAGCTGGCCGTTGTGTGGTGTCAGTGCTACATCTGAGCTGGCTGTCATGTGGTGTCAGTGCTGCATCTGAGCTGGCTGTCATGAGGTGTGGATGCTATGTCTGAGCAGGCTGTCATGCAATGTTGGTGCTGCGTCTGAGCTGGCTGTCGCGCGGTGTCGATGTTATGTCTGAGCTGGCTGTCATGCGGTGTCGACGCCGTGTCTGAGCAGGCTGTCGTGCGGTGTCGGTGCTGCGTCTGGGCTGGCTGTCGTGCGGTGTCAGCGCTACTTCTGAGCTGGCTGTCATGTGGCGTCAGTGCTGCATCTGAGCTGGCTGTCGTGCAGTGTCAGCGCTACATCTGAGCCAGCTGTCATGTGGTGTCAGTGCTGCGTCTGAGCTGGCTGTCGTGCGGTGTCGATGCTGTGTCTGAGCTGGCTGTCGTGCGGTGCCCACAGGAGGTCGCTATGCCGGTGGCGCCGTCCAGCGGCGGCCAGCGGCTGCGGCTGTTCTCTGCCGTCACACGCCAGCGGCTGCACCAGTCGGCGGCGCGCCCCGGCGCAGATGTCGACGCCGCCCAGCAGCCGGGCGCGCCGTTCGGCCAGCCGCTGCCCGGTGGCCGGCTGGCCTGGGCCGCCAATGGACCCGCGCTCGAGGTGGTCTGCTGCCGGACGGGCGAACGGCGCGCCGCCTGGACGTTCGGCGCACACCGGCCGGACGCACCGCCCGTCCAGGTGACGGCCGTCTGCGGCCTGGCCGAGGTGGCCGGGCCGGCCGCCGCCCACCTGTTAGCCGTCGGTCTCGACTGCGGCCCGGCCACCGGCGCCGGCGGAGGGGGCGGCGGCATGGTGTGCGTGTTTGACGCGGCAGCGGCGGCCGTGGTGCGCGCCGTCCAGCTGCCACACAAGGTAACCGCGCTGACAGCGCTGCGCGTGCCGCCCTCCGACGACGTGTGCCGGCCGCTGCTGGAGATGGCCGCCGTGGTCGCGGTCGGCACGCAGGACGGCTTCGTGTTGCTGCTCGACCTCGGCCTGGACGCGCCCGTGCGCACTGACGAGCGAGCGCCCGGCATGCTCTCGTACGTGACCGTGCTGGAGCCGGCCGTAGCGCAGCGGCGCGCCGAGCAGGCGGCGCTGGGCAACCACCTCTGCCTGCCGCTAAACGACGCGTCCGTGGAGGCGGGCGTGTTCGCGCACCGGACGGCGCGCGGCCTGCTGGAGCACGCGCAGCCGGCCGCCGACACCTGGGTGTCGGCCGTGCAGTACGTGCCGCAGCTGCGCAGCCTGGTGGTCGGCCTCAGCTTCGGCTGCTTCCAGGTATGTGACGGACTCGGCCGGCGACCGGCTGCCATTGGATCTGCCATGACAACCAGAGTCTGGTCAGAGTTGCCTTTTTACGAGCATTCAAGCCGGGGCAGCTTTAGCTTTCCTGGTGGTTGGATAAGATATTGTGATGTGTGCGTCGCGTCTCAAAAAAAGTATTGATCTAGTGTTGGAATTCCTGGTTGTTCATGTGGATTTTACTGTAGGTTTATGGTTTTGATGCCGGTTTTACTTGCCCAGTGCAAATTGTCCGGGCGCGGGGCACCGAGTGTATGCAGCATTTGCCATGCTTTGAGACTTGTCCCATCAGTGAATCACTGTTTGAAGGGCTTATTTCATTGGTAAATACGTTTGAGGAGTCATTTACTCAGAAAACAAGCGATACAAGGGGCGGTTCCGATGTGGTGTGCAGGAGGGTCAGTTCACCTTGGAAATTCCCCACGTTTCAACTCATGGAAATCGATATCGCGGTTCTGGAGCAGCACCCGGAAGGAAGCCATCGTAGATCGTCTCATTTAGATGGCAGACTTGGCGGGCGCACCCAAGCGCCACCACGCCACATTGTTGCGTAAAGATTGTTCATTTGATCAGAACGTGCAATGACCTTCACAAAGCATTGGTGACGCATTGGCTGCCAACGCCTGCTGTAGATGCGCTCTTCGGGGAGTCTGGTCGGGGCCAGGTGCTCGAATGGAAGAGAGCCCTGTAGCCGTGTTTTCAAAATGGGCCGTTGTTGGGTATCCTTTCCTTTCAGATCCGAAAACTGAGAGTCACGGCTTGCGGTCCGTGATGGGTTTTGTATCGTCCCTGGGACATTTACAATACAGCATCTCAAACATTTTGTCTTGGAGTGGTGACGAATTGTCCATTTTGACGGCCGCACCAAAGCTCTACGTTTGTACTCGGTACATTGCGAGAAAGATAGATTGAAGCAGGTGCAGCTATTGCAGTTTAACATGTGCTCGGTTGGTGGCTCAATTTGACCCCCCCCCCCCCCAAGGTTTTTCGGAATGGTTTCGGAGCAGCGAAGCGTTGCCGCGCCAATTTGTAATAGCAGTAGAAAACTGAGTAGCGAATCGTTTGGCACCAAAAATTTTGATGTGCCTCGTAAGGTCGCTGACCTACGGCAGGCCCAAATCGGGCCATGGATTCAGCGAAGGCAATTTCTGGGGAGTGGTCCGATCTGATGCAGCATCGGAGCGTTAGGCGAAGCCATACATTTCTGAGAAAGTTTCATAGGCGACACAACAATTCATGAACAAGTTCCATTCGCCTAGGACCAAGTGTATATAGGTATAACGGTCAGACCAAGGTCAAAGTCAACCTGTTTTTATTACTCCAGAGCTTGCAGTGTGGGATAGTGTCTGGTGCTCATTTCGAATTGACTGATAACAGAAACCGCATTACGCGTCTTCCATGGACTTCGTGAAGGTCAGTATAGGTCAGTGACCTAAAATGACCGGGATTAACCTCTCGTGTCTAAAAACATATTGCCTGTCGTTAGCATTGACACTTAGTAAAATCCAAAACCCGGAGCAGTCTTGTATAATTTTGGTCACCATGACCGTGCGAATGGTCAAACGTCACTGACCTTAAATGAGCATCAGTGACCTTTTGCTTAGAACAGGTTTAGAACCGGTGGCTTTTTGGACAACAGTCTGGAGGTTGGTCATGTTGCAACTTATTTGACCCGAAGGTCATAACCTAGGAATCCCAAATTTCGACAAAAGTGAGTTCACATGTAGGGCAACGCGCCCCGTGAATTTGGTGTCTCTAGCCTTCTTCGTTGCTGAAATCTCAGGTGGTCACATGGACCGCCTTCTCCCCACCCGAGCGAAGGATATTCAACCGGCCACCCGGGCGGGTGTTAAAACTCTTCCATGGCTAGAACCCCGGGCCGCCCATTCCCCCCCCCCCCCCCCCCGACGCTTCAACCGTGTAGCATGTCCCTGTGAGCATTCCTGTTGCCCGTGTGGAGGATAAATGGGCTCAAAACGCACTATCGTTGTGCCCGCGTTTGACTCGGCCCGTGTCCCGGCAGATCTGGGACCTGGAGACGCTGCAGATGGACTTTGCCAGCCGGTACGAGCCGGGCCTGCTGCCCGTGGTCAGCTGCGTCTTCCTCGAGCCCGAGAACGACCCGCGCCGCTTCGTCTACCTGTGGATGCTGCACAGCGTGCCGGCCTACCACGACATGAGCGGCTCAGTGGCGTCGGCGGCGCTGTACGCGCTTATCTACAGCGAACGCCAGTGGGCGCAGGATGTGCCCGTCTACCGTGGCCTCGAGCAGGTCGGCCTCAAGCTCGTCTATGACCTGACCACCACGCCCGAGCAGCCGAACCCGAGCGGCGTGCTCGCCAGCTGTCTGCTGGCGGCCGTCGCGCTGCCGGCGCCGGCCGGCGACGTCAGCGCCGGCGGCGGCGCCGACGACAGCCTCGTGTCGCGCGACGTCACGCGCTGCGCGCTGGCCTGGGAGGCGTGGACTGCCGACGGCTCCTCCACGTGCACGTGTCTGGCGCTGTTCGACCTGAACCGCTGGTACCAGGCGCACATGCCGCACGCCGTGGACGCGGCGGCACTCGAGCGCTGCGAGTACCTGCGCTTCTTTTCGCTGGACGTGAGCCAGGGCATTGTGCTCGGCGTGGCGGTGCGCGAGCTGGAGCCACGCTCGGGGCTGCTGTCGGCCACGCTGCTGCTGGATGTAGGCGTGCTGCCGGTGACGTTCGTCGGCCCGCAGGAGCGGCTGTTGCGCGCGCTGGAGGCGGCCGGCGAGACGCAGCTGGCCCGACCGCTGCCGGCGTACGAGGCGGCGCGGCGCGCCGGCCTCGTGTCGCCCGGTGCCGTCACATCGGCTGAGCAGCGCGAGGCGCTGCTGACGCTGGCACTGGAGCGTGGCTTCGGCTCGCTGGTAGCCGGCTGCGCGGCCACCTGGCGCTCCGGCGACGCCGACGGCTCGGGCTGCACGCTGCGCGCGCTGCTCGACTGGCTGTGGCGGCGCGCCGTCGACGTGGTGACGCAGCTGGACGCCGCGTGTGTGCGCCTGTTCGATCTGAGCGGCGGTCCGCTGGCGCCCGACGAGACGGAGGTGCTGCACGCGCTGCGCGCGCAGCTGGACGGACTCGGCCACGTGCTGCACACCATGGCTACCCGTACCGTGAACACAGACGTAGGTCTCGGCGAGCTCGAGTCCAAGAGCTACGTGCTGCGCGTGCGCAGCCTCCACGCGTCGGTGATCCTGTGGTTATGCCACGCGGGCCTGCTGCCCGAGCAGGCGGAGGCGGACGATGGAGGTGATCCGCTCGAGTTCGCGTTCCCGGGCAGTGCTCTGGCTGCCTGGTACGGCGAGCGGCGCCGCAAGCTGGGCGGACGCCTGCTGATGGTGGACGGCTTGGTGGAGGAGTTGGGTGAGCCGTTGCGCCAGCTCTGGCAGGAAGACGGTGACGGCCACTACCCGCCGCGCTCGCTGCACGCTCTCACGCGTGCCTACCTGCTGGACGGTGTGCCGGACGTGCGCAAGCACCGGCTCACTCACTATCTTCTGATGGACTTGGGCCGCCTGTTGTCCGACGAGCACTGCGATACGCTCAAGTCGTTTCCGTCCACGTTCGCCATGTCGCCGAGTCTCATCAAGCTGACGCACGCCTTCTGGAACCTGGACCACGGCAACATCGAGTCGGCGCTGGTGTTCCTGATGGACCCGTTGGTGCAGTCGGCCGACCTCACCGCCTGGCAGCACCGGCGCATCGTGGAGTCGCTGTTGGCGCAGGGCGAGCCGCGCGCGGCGCTGCAATACGCGCGCGCCCGCCACCTCCCGGCGCCGCAGCTGGCTGACCTGCGCCTTCACCTGCGCGTGCTGCTTGATAACGGCCTGGTGACTGAGGCGCTCAAGTACGAGCAGCGGCACCGCGCCATCGGCGGCGACCGGCTGGTGCGCTGGCTGCTGGCCGGCTGCCAGGAGCGGCGGCTGCTGGTGCAGCTGATGCGGCTGCCGTTGGACGCGTCGGTGGAGCGGCAGTTCGTCGACTTCCTGCTGGAGAGCCCGGAGAAGGACTGTGGCGAGCTGCTGCACGTTTTCTATCTGCAGCGCGGCCGATACCAGGACGCCATCCGGTTACAGCGGCGGCTGTCGGCCGGCGTGCCAGCGGCCGACCCGGACCGCGCCGGCTTCCGCGACTCGCTGCATCAGCTACTGCCGGGCCTGGTGCACCACCGGCTGGCCGACGGCCCGGGCCGGCCGGCCGGCCGCCCCTGCCTGCCGGGCGTGCCGCGGCGTCCGCTCTCCGCCCAGCTGCACCAGGTGTCGGCCACGGTGCGCTCGCGCTCGGCACTGATCGAGGCTCTGCTGGAACGGAGCGGCCAACCACCGCCACCGCAGACGGCCGCCACGCCCTTCCGGCCGCGCCACAAGCGCCGGCGGCCCGAGGACGAGGAAAACGAACCAGAGCCGGGCGACCCGCCTTCGCCCGAGCAGCGGCGCCCGCTGAGAGCTGAGCTGCGCCGCCTGCTGCAGACGCCTCCGGTGGAGCGCCGGCCGCGCCGCTCCGACATCCTGCCGCCAGCGACGCCGCTTGCGCGCACGCCGGCCGCCCGCATGACGCCGCAGTCGATCTTGAAGGTGCGCCGCTTCCTGGAGTCGAGTGGCGGGCGCAGCGCGGCCGAGGAGACGCCCTCCAAGCAGCTGCGGTTCGGCCTGTTGCGCGGCCGCCGCTCACTGGAGGAGAGCCGGGCCTCGTCGGACCGCGGCGCCGACGATGTCACGCCGCCCCCGCGCGGCCTGCTGCCCTCGCTCTTCACGCCCGGCACGACGCCGGCGCCGCCGGACGTGGCCTGGCGCCCGATCCCTGTGCCCCCGCTGCCGACAGCGGACGCCGAGCGCTCTCCTTTGCCCGAGCCGGCGTCGCCTCCGCGCAAACGCCAGTCACTGGCCAGTGAACTGGACGACAGCGAGTTCTTCAGCTTCGAGGCCAGCCCGACGGCGGCGGTGCCCGACATGACGCTTGAGTTCTTCGACCGTGAGCGTCGGCTGTGCCTGGTGGAGCGCTCCTGGCACGACAGCGACGGTGAGGACGAGCGGGCGCTAACGCTGGGCGGCGACGTGCTGCGCCGGTCGCGCGCCGGTGACGACGACGACACGGTCAGCGAGGACGGCGCGGCGCGGCCGGGGACCGAGGAGAGTCCGACGGAGGACGAGCCGTGCCACTCGACCCCGCAGAGGCCGTCACCGCCGCTTGCAGGAGCGAGGTCTTCGCCCAGGCGTGGCACTCTGAATGTCAGCTCGCGAAAGAGTATTCATGAGGCGTCGCCAACGTCGGACGCAGCTAGGCCGGCAGACGCGGGACAAGTCCATCAGCCCGCGGTGGGAGGCGCGGCGCGCGTCCGCCCTGGCTCTGGCAGCCCGCGCGAAAAGCTGCAGCGGGAGGGCGCCGCGGTGACCGGCAAACCAAGCAGAGAAACTCCGCTGACTCCTGCGATGGCCCGCAGTCAGAAGGCGACGCCACCTGAGCCAGCCGGCGGCCTCGGCTCGGAGGAGGCAGAGGAGGAGGAGGAGAGGCGGCGCGTCTCCGGCTCATCGGGCGAGTTCAGCCCGCTGATTGGCAACCGGTTCGACACTCTGGCCGGCTACGTCGAGGAGGGCTCGACGTCGAAGAGGCTGGCGGCCGTTGAGGCGCAGGTGTTGGCCGTTACCAGCGTGACCACAGAGAAAATGGAGTCGCGAAAGTCGTCAGCCCGCGCCGGGGATGTGAGCGGCCGGGAAGGACTCGCTGGTGAAGCCCCTAAAGAAGGAGGAGAGGTAAAAGGTCCCAGGGATTATTCTGCTGGAGTGATCGTGGGGAGCCGTGAAGTGGAAGAGCCGTTGGTAGTCAAGCGGGCTGCTTGGGTTACCGGCGAGAGAGCCGAAATGGAAGGGCTCGAAAGGCTGCCAGCCGACGAACCAACCGTCGCCAAGGAAACTGCCTGGCGAACTGGAGAGAATCGGAGGGCCGAAGCTCCGATCGACGCGCACGAGCCGACCCCGACCAGCGAGTCGCAGGCAGCGGCCGACGCCTCCCGAGAGCTGGAGCCGCCGGCCGTGCGCGAGGCGCTCTGGCGGATCGGCCGGGCGCTGGACCTTCCCGAGTGGTCCGGGGAGCCGCCGGCGGGCGCGGAGCGCGCTCTGCTCTCCTCCGGCCTGGATGTCTTCGACAGTCGGATGGAGCTGCGGTTGGAGTCTGACAGCGACAGCGAGTCGGAGCGGCGCGGCGGCTTCACCTCGCTGCTGGCGCGGTCGGAGTGCGTGCCGTCGCCGCCGCGCCCGCCTGACGCCCGACTGTCGTCGGGCTCGCAGACGTCGCCGCAGCGGGGTTCGTCCGGTGGCCGTCTCTCCCGGTCGTCGGTGCTGCGCCAGAGTCTCCGCATGGAGTCGGAGCTGGCCGGTCAGGAGGTCGCGTCTGGCACCGCGCTGCTGACGCCGCGCCGCGGTCTGCGTTCGTCGGACTCCGCCTCGGCCGCAGCCAGCGAGAGCTCGCCTTGTAGTAGCAAACTGATAGAAGAAGTCTTCACCACCTCCACGACCACCACCAGCACGGTGGAGAAAGCGCAGTTAAGCGTGGAAGGCTCGATAGGTACCAAGTTTTCTGTGGAGAGCTCAGAGACGGTGTCTAAGAACGTCACTGTGGCTGTCGGCGCAGGCCTTGGGTCACAGTCACCAAGGAAAATCTCTCCCGTCTCTCCACCCTCAAAGGAGTCCGTGGTATCGCCGATGACGACCCCGGCTGCCGCCGAGCGCCAATCAGCCCGAGCATCGCCCCAAGACGCGGGCTCGCCGGAGCGACCCGCGTCGGGCTCTCTTGAATTGCCGCCTGCAGAGGAGCCGGCGTCCGCCGCCAGCCTGTCACCGCCTAGGCCGCCGGCAAGCAGTGAGTCGCCACCAGCGACGCCGCCGAGTGTGCGCCGCGGTGGACGGCGCCCGGCGCTGTCGGGCGCGCTCACGCCGAGCACGCCACACGCCCGTTTGAGCGTGCTGGCGACCGTGGCGCCGCTCTCGCCCGTGCCGGAGGACCCCAGCTTCGAGACGGTCGCGCCGGCACCGTTCGGCGGCCAGAGCAGCTCTGCAGGGGAGAGGACGACCGCTCCAGCCTCCGTACGGAAGAGTGCGCGAACTCGTGCTGCCTCCTGTGAGCCGGAGGAGCCGTCCGCTCCAGCCTCGGCACGGAAGAGTGCGCGGGCACGCGCCGCCTCATCTGAGCCGGAGGAGCCGTCCGCTCCAGCCTCGGTACGGAAGAGTGCGCGGGCACGCGCCGCCTCGTCTGAGCCGGAGGAGCCGTCCGCTCCAGCCTCGGTACGGAAGAGTGCGCGGGCACGCGCCGCCTCATCTGAGCCGGAGGAGCCGTCCGCTCCAGCCTCGGTACGGAAGAGTGCGCGGGCACGCGCCGCCTCGTCTGAGCCGGATGAGCCGTCCGCTCCAGCCTCGGTACGGAAGAGTGCACGGGCACGCGCCGCCTCGTCTGAGCCGGAGGAGCCACTGGCTCCGGCCTCGGTACGGAAGAGCGCGCGAACTCGTGCTGCCTCTTTTGAGCCGGAGGAGCCGCTAGCTCCAGCCTCGGTTCGGAAGAGCGCGCGAACTCGTGCTGCCTCGTCTGAGCCGGAGGAGCCACTAGCTCCGGCCTCGGTAAGGAAGAGCGCGCGAACTCGTGCTGCCTCGTCTGAGCCGGAGGAGCCACTACCTCAGGCCTCGGTTCGGAAGAGCGCACGGGCACGCGCCGCCTCATCTGAGCCGGAGGAGCCACTAGCTCCGGCCTCGGTTCGGAAGAGTGCGCGGGCACGCGCCGCGTCGTCTGAGCCGGAGGAGCCGTCCGCTCCAGTCTTGGTTCGGAAGAGCGCACGGGCACGCGCCGCCTCGTCTGAGCCGGAGGAGCCACTAGCTCCGGCCTCGGTTCGGAAGAACTCCCGTTCCAGGGAGTCCGATATGCCATCGACGCCACTCCGGAGGAGCTCGAGGAATAGGAGCGTGTCGGTTGAGCCGGACGAGCCAGCGCCAGCCGCTCCCTCGAGGGTACTCTCCCGAAATCAGTACCGCATCGCCAGCGAGCAGAGACGACGTGCAAAAAGATGGTAAGGTCGGAAGGCCGTCCGAGAAGATTGGGGATGTGTCTTCCGCCCACCCAGCGGCTACGGGTGTTCAAAGACAACATACTTCGGCAGAACTGCAACAGCATTCTGCGATGGACAAACGTGAAGAGGATAATGAAACTCAGAAATCGTCGCAGGACCTAGCCACTTTGGATGTGGCATCTGGGGTGGACTTGAAGGTTGAGAAGGCATCTGAGAAACGAGAGCAACATGCAGATCTGGACACCGCTCGAAAGAGCATCAGGACGAGGAAGGCATCTGAAGGGCTAGATGATGCCTCAGGTGCGGACTTGACGCGGATGGGAAGGCGCGCCAGGAAAGCATCCGAGGAATCAGGAGAACTTTCAAGTGCTGGATGCGAGTCAAACAGCGGTCAGATCTAGGACTCGGAAGGCATCTGAAAGATCGGCCGGAGCGTCCTCTCTGGACTCTGCCCCAAAAAGTACCAGAGCAGGGAAGCAATCTGGAATAGGTGAGGAATCGCTCATTCAGGACACTTCGAAAAAGGGACATAGAACCAGGAAAACGTCTGAAAAACCGGATGAGGATCCAGTTATGGATGTCGCGCAAACGGATGAGACGGCCAAGAAAGCATCAGAAGAATCGTTAATTCCAGACACGACTAAAACGGGGCCCAGAACCAGGAAGGCGTCTGAAGAACCGGAACAACAAAGTACCCTGAGCACTGCTCGAAAAATGCAAGAACCGAAAACGTATCTGAGGGACGGGAGGTGACGCCATTACTGGATACGACTGGTAGCAGCAAGAGACCTCTGAATCCGTCTGCAGGGTCTGAAGACTCATCAGAAATAACTCAACAGATGTCAGTCACCAGGAAGCCGTCTCAAGATTCAGTCGACATCCGCGGCCCCTCTGGCAAGAGGAAAAGAACGAGTAAACCGCCGCAGGCCGACGATTCCCAGACGGCCCCGGGTACCTCTGCGGGCACGGTCGAGTGTCCGAGGTCGTCGGAAACCCCAGAGGACGCTGCTGAGGAACGCGAGAGCCACGGGGAACCAGACGCGGCCGGGGCCGACTCCCTCACAGCTCGAAAACGCCGCGCAGCCGGCGGCGGCGGCGATCCGACCCCGGCCGCCGCCGACCGGCCGGCCAAGAAAGGCCGCGGCTCCGGCGCCCGGAAGAGCCGGCCGGCCGCCCCCGAGGCGGCGGCGGAGGATAGCGGCGCGTCGCCGCCGCTGGAGCGCCGCGTTCGCCGGCGCCCGTCAAGCTCGCGCCGCCCCGGCCCGCCGCCGGCCGCAGGCGAGGCGGGCGCCATGCCGGCGCCGGCGGCGCGCCGCAGCACGGCCCTTCGGCGGCGGTACGCGCGGCCGGCCGACCGCCCGGACGGCAGTCCGATCGTGTTCGTCACGGATGCCCAGCTGGAGGAGATGCACCAGGCGGCTGAGGCCGGGGCGCCGCCGCCACACCCCCGTCGCTCGTCGGCGGCGCGCGCCCGCCGCCGCACCGGCAGCAGCCGCCTCTCGGTCCGGCTGTGGTAGAGGCGGCGGCCGATGTGGGCGGGAGACGCCCACGTCCGTCGGACTTTACGGTACGCTGTTGGATCGCAGTGGCGGCGCGCAGTCGGTTAGATTGGAGCGGCCAGCTGCTGGTGGATTTGTGTCTGTCCTTTGGTTGGAGAGCGGCAGGTTGCAGAACGCGCCGGCGTGTCGGTGAGAACTAACTTTGTCTGAGCTGGGCCGCGGGCGGATTGCTGTGTCGCTGTGCTGTGAGACCACTGCCACACACTTTTGTGGCGGGGCGTTGTAGTCGCCCGACCCGGCGCAGCAGCCGCCCGCAGCCTTCGCAAAATGATTACCGCAGTCATTCAGTTCGGCGTGGAGATTGAATGGCGGCTGCTGCCGTCTCGAGCCAGCCGCATGATGGCGTGGGCAGGCGTTCCGTGATTGTATTGGGAGTGGGTGATTCGTTTCATGAGACGGTGCTTCCTTTGCGCGATCCTGTGTCAGTTGTACCAAACGTTACAGGAGAGGCCCAGCGCCAGCTCCGATATCATGAGGATTAAAACAGGTTAAGTATAGGATGCCCGTTAAGCAATGCGTGAGGGGCTGTTAGCGTCGTGCTTAGTTGAATTTCCACAATAAACGTGCCTACAGTATATGCGTTTGATGGGTGCTTGGGTTACCACGATGGCATAGACCATTGACGGCAGCAGGTGAGCTGGTGCGGCCTGGCTGCAGCATATAACGCTGGTTGAAGCTGTCACGCGTAAAGCAGCCTCTCGCTGAGCAGACATACGGAGCTACATAGGGAGGGCAGTGGTCGATGTGCCCCTTCTGTTCAGTCATGGCTTTTCAAAAGGAGACCCGGAGCAAATTCGCATACGTACGCGAACGGTGCTTTTGTTTATGATGATTATTGTGACGACGAGCCGA